ATGAGCTCCTGCGCCGTGTCGTACTTCCCCTCGCAATAGCCGCTCACCGTCGCAAGGCCCGCCGGCGACGACGGGTCCACCCTCACCTTCTCGGCGGCGTCGTAGCTGACCCCGTACGCCTCCCGGTTGGCGCGCATGGCGGCGGCCACGAACCCGGTCACCTCCTCCGGCTCCGGCGAGGCGCCCAGCTCCCTCACGCACAGCTGCCACATCACGCCCGCCGTGCTCGCCTGCTTGCACGCGTCCACGGCGGACATCCGCGGCACGCCGTCGCAGCCGTCCGCTACGCCGGCGAGGAGCGAGGCCGCCGTCAGTAGTAGTGACAGTGTAAGAGCTACGGACATGACTCCGGCTCTCTCCATGATGATTTGATTGTGTGGTGTTGATCTCTTCGATCGATCTGCGATTGAACTCGCGAAAATGTTGGTATTTATAAATGGAATTTACGCACGGGGATCTCTGCAATTATTAGTGGATTTGAAGGTGATTTGTGCAATCAATGAAATGAGTAGCTACTACTCCATTCCAAAATAATTTTAATCCTATTTCTAGCTATGAATCTAGACATATATTGTACATAGTCTTAGCTAGGATAGGAATTTTTTTAGAAGGTTTAGTATTTAAGGATGCAATTAAGTTGTACTAATATATTTATACATGTACATAGTCATAGCTAGGATAGAAAATATTTTTATAGAAGGTTTAGTATTTAAGGATGCAATTAAGTAGATATCAATATGTCTACCTATGTTATAAAACCATCCATTACGTGGTGCGTACACGTGTGCTTACACCCACACGGCTTTCTATGATTCCTTTCGCTTATCTTTAGGTAGAGGTAAAGATAAGCTCATACTACCAAATATACATATACCACTCGATCTTGCTATTATATTTTTGTTGAGGTTAAAAGAGATAGATCATAGATATATCCACACATGAGAAAGTAAAAAAAAATGATGCCTCTTTCTATATCGTTTCCATTGATCGCCGTCTACGGTAGATCAACGATAGGCCACTAGTTATTTAACACTTTCAAATATGTTTACAAGGGTAGGAGAAGGGGACAAAGCACATAGATGGAGAAGTTATATTATAGAAGAGAGCAGGTAGAGGCGAGAAGAGAAGAGGAACAACAATATTTCAAACGTGTCAATTCCACGATTAACAATATTCTGCTACTGTGCTAATGTATTTACTGTTCACTTAGACATTTGAAACCATCTCTCTCCACATTGAGTACTGCATAGGATCGGGATCCCCAGATTGATTTCTCCTGGTCAACCTCACAAACTTTAATTTCTGTAAAATCCTCAGTACACTTGGCTTGTCATCATGTGATTAAAATCAGGTGGATTAATTACTATAAGTGCACAATAAAGACCACAATCAATCCAGACCATTTCATATTTTTATCCATTGTTCCAGATTCGTTGCTACAGAACACGTAAAGCAATAATTTTTGGAGTGAGTATAATATACATTGCTACAGTGATACATTGATTTGTTGAGTTACACTAGCAACTACTCCGTACACCGGATCCCAATCCGTCGACTGTCGTCATGTGTTTAGCAATAATTCTTAACAAGGATCCCGCTGCAATGTGCAGGGTTGCATCTAGTCACAATTCTCTCCGTCCTTAAATATTTAACGTCGTTGACTTTTTTAAATATACTTAACTGTTCATTTTATTCAAAAACTTTTGTGAATATTATTAAAAAACTTGAGTAGTAGTATATTTAACAATGAATCAAATGATAGGAATAAGACGAACGGTCAAATATATTTTAAAAAATCAACGGCGGAAAATATTTAGGGACAGAGGGAATATTTTTTTTATTTGGTTAAATTGCATCCACGGTACAACTTAGCAAGTGGATGCGATATAGTGCAAGAACTTAAGAATTGAACGTCCGAGTGCAACAAATTGATAAGTGGGTGCGTTCTAGTATAAGAATTTAACAATTTAGTATTTTGGTGCATCAACTTGGCTAAACATGTGCAATGTGAGTTTTTTTCACGATGTCAATATGCCATTACATAATAATCATATGGATATAACCTTATAATATTGAATTTAATCTTTAAGAATTATACTACACATAGCAGTACAATTTATATCCAATTACCTTTAAGATTTTTTTCTTCACCTTTTCAAATATCAATTGAAAACAATAATTTTTACATCTAGTTTAATTGGATTTCAGTTATTAGTTATTAGGATAAAAAATAAATATACTTATACAAATCCTTGCTAGTATATTGTCAAAATTAGTACTTAAAAATTGAATTTATATAAAAAAATGCTCCAAATAATTAAGTTGTCACATAACCTTTTAACTTATTGTCTTATTGTATCAAAATCGTACCTAACTTACAAGTTATTGCATTTATACGATCACTTATAAAGTTCTTATACTAGATTGCACCTACCTGCTAAGTTGTTGCACTAGAGCGCTCATTTCTCAAGTTATTGTACCAAATTACACCCACCTGTTAAGTTGATGCACCGTGGATGCAATTTACTCTTTTTATTTCCTCTCTTTAGCTAAAACAAAACCCATGATACATTTATTATGAAAAAAAATAAATGAAAAACAAAATTGTGCAGCTTACAGTTAGCAAGCTAATTAATATTCGCTGGATGCTTCAGCATAATACCAGTGAGCCGGAGAGCGAGCATGCTCCGGTCCCGGTCACCTACCACCGTCCTGTACCACGCCGAGTTCACGCCGAACACCTGCAGCAGCGCGATGGCGCAGTCGTCGACGGCGACGACGGCCGCCGGAACGTCCCTGACGAGCTCCGCCAGCTCGCAGCCGTTCAGGTGGCCCGCCGCGGCGCCCATCTGCTGCTGCGCGCGCGTCGCGGTACTTGTGCACGCAGGCCTGCGCCGCCGCCCTCGCCGCGCCCGGCGCCGACGGGTCCGTCGCCAGCGGCCAGAGGTAGCTACCCACGGTGGCCTCGTACGACCTCGCCGCGGCGTTCACGGCGGCGAGCACGAACACGGTCACCTCCTGCTCCGGCGCCGTCGCGGTGCCCCCCTCGTCGGCGCATATCTGGGATATGGTTCGCCCCGTGCTCGCCCTCTGGCACACCGCCGCCGCCGACATCGACGGCACGTCCCAGTCGCTGCAGGCGTCGGCTACTCCGCCGCCGCCGGCGAGAAGGAGGAGCAAGGTGGCGGTCGCTGACATGGAGAGCACTGCAAAGACGGCGGCGGGTTTCTCCATGGCTTAAAATTTCTTCTTCGATCGAAGTGGAAATCGCGTCGACGTTTATAGTTAAGCTGCGTCAGAAATTATTTTTTTCCTAGGATATCTGCATTTATTAGTGGATTTGTTTGTGTATCTCCATTTATTGAAATGAATCTTGCATTTAAGGATGCAATTTAATTATAAAATGGTGAATAGCCAATATGACCCCTGAAGTTTTCTGCTGAGTCAGTTTACTAGTTTAGTCCCTAATATTTTAAATAGTTCAAACGGGTTCTCAAAATTTATCATTTGGCTTACCATTGTCCTGTTACCCACCAAAAATATCATGTGGAGTTGCCATGGCATTTTTGCACGCAAGAGAATCAGTTGAATAACCATTCAACCCTTACATATACCCTAAATAATAATATTTTTCTCTTTTCTATGGTATATATGTATGGGTGATCGTAGAATGGTAACTTAATCGCTGCCCTTGCACATGCGAGGATGACGTGGTATTTTCGGTGAGCTATGTTAAGCTAGATGATAATTTTTAAAGATTTGTACGGACAATTTAAAACTTTAGAGACTAACCTATTTATGATTGAAACTTAAGGGACTGTATTGGCTATTCACCCATATAAATCATGGTATTAGTTTGAGCCGATTAAGTTGGAAGATATCCTTGAGATGGAATCTTGTCAGAGTTTTTTTACACTTCTGAGATTTGTTTTAAGTAAATTCACTTTGGATCATCTTTTATTATCGATGTTTCATTTTGGATCACCCTTTAAACATTGTTTTCATATCGTACCGGGTAATATTACATTTGTTGTACTTTGGACCACCTCAACTCCCTTGTCAAGAATTTGAATGATCTCAAGTACGCCGCCTTTTACACGTTAATGGATTCTCACAGCTATATATAGACTATTTATTTGACATATGACAAATTAGATGTTTTTTAAAGATAATATGACAAGTTGGATGTAGATGGATAAAAGAGTTAAGTGCGGTGCAAAGTATCACAAAGGTAAATTTTCCTAGTTCAAAAGTGAAAATATTGGTTAAAAGGTGACCCAAAACGAAACATCGGTAATAAAAGGTTACCCAAAGTGAAATTTACTATTTTTCAAATATCAATTGAGAATAAATTTTATCTCAAATTCGTTGAACTTTAAAGATATCTCATCACGATTTTTCCACAAAATGGAATAGTGAACCATTTTTCTGGTGCGTTTTGAGAATTAGGTAGAGGTGTTAATGAGGAGATATATTGGGAGCAATAATACTTGTGAGAGGTAGTATACTGTTGCATTTTTGTGGTGCATTTCTAGCACTCGTGCGCCGAATAGGAATCCTGGAAAATCAGTGAATCTCCCGTTGGTTCACTAGAGATAGTATGTTTTATTCGCTTCATTTATATGATTATGAATAATCTGTCTGTCTACAACAATATAATGTTCATGTCAATTCTCAATTGTAGAGATAGTACATAAATATGGCTCGCATTAAGCTGATGAAATCGAAGCATACTAGTTCAGTGATTTCTACGCTTGGAATTATTTAAATTGAGTAAAAAATATTGAAATTGAGACTCCAAGGGAGAAAATGTCATGTGTAATTGGAAATGACTGCTTTCCAATTATAAAAAATCATTTGAATCATGGGGCATACTTTCAGCCAACCATTGACTTAAAGATGGGAATTGAAGCAATTCAAAATTCAAAATTTGACTGATGAGGTGACTGAAAGAAAATCTTTCCCTATACAAACAAGAAATGAGATTATTACATTTGAGATAATGAAAAACCATCGTTGTGACATGTGAGTCAGATCACTGGATAATATTAATTCATTTGATATTTGACTTTAGCCACACATTGGTTTAATTAAGCAATTTTGTTATCATCATATCCCCAAGAGTTTCCCCAGGAAGAGAGCCATCCCGGCCTTGTTCCGGTCGACGAGCACCATGGCGTACAGCGGCGACGCCGGCAGCTTGAGCACGCGGTCCCTGCAGTTCTCGACGTCGATGAGCCCGTTCAAATAGTCGCCGGCGAGGCCGTCGAAGCTGCAGCCGTCGAGCTTGTCCACGACGCTGCCCATGGCGTGCAGCGCCGTCGAGTAGTCCACCGCGCACTCCATGTACGCGTCCCTCTCGTCGCCGGGGAGAGACCTGTTGTTCCTGACCTCGTCGATGGCGGCGCCCATGGTGGCCTCCGCCGACGCCGCCGCGCCGTGCGCCGCCGCGAGCGCGTAGACGGTCACGTCGTGGTCGCTCAACGGGTCCGCCACGCCGGCGAGCGCGTCCCTGCACGTGTCGTACATCGCCTGCGTGCCGCTCACGTTGCGGCACGCCGACTCCACCGTCATCGTCGGCGCGCCGGGGCACGTCTTCTCGTCATCTCCGGCGACGCCGGCGACGGCGAGGGAGACGGCGACGAGTAGCCTGAGAGGAAGGGGAATAGTGTTCATGGTGTTCACGACGAAGTACTCCTAGAGAAATATACTGAAAAGAAGAAGAAATGGTGTACTGAATAAACTTGGATTTTTTTTCCAACTCTATTTAAGGTGTCCACAGCAATACACCTCATTAGAGAAGATAATAAATACATAAAATATATGTATTAATTACTTCGTCCATTTATGAATAATATATCTGTGTAGAGAGTGAATTAATAAATTTGGCAACCAATTAATGTGAAAATCGAATCATCATAATGGTTACAGAAGAGTCCAGTACTGATTTCTACTTTTGAAATTATTCAAATTGAGAAAATATCCAAATGGCATATATAGCTGGGAAACATGTCATGTGTATTATCTCTGCTATTACTAATTTCCCATTTTGAATTATATAAATTACTACTTCCTCCATTTCATATTATAAGACTTTCTAGTATTGCCCACATTCATATGTATATATATGTATGTATGTATATGTATATATGTATATATATGTATGTATGTATATGTATATGTATATATATGTATATGTATATGTATATATGTATATGTATATATGTATGTGTATATGTATATATGTATATATGTATATATGTATATGTATATATGTATGTGTATATATGTATATGTATATATATATATATATATATATATATATGTATATTATATATGTGGGTAATGCTAGAAAGTCTTATAACCTGAAACGGAGGTAGTAATTGGGAATGCCCGTGAGCGTGTCCTTGTACATGTCGTAGATCGCTCGTGTGCCGCTCACCTTGTGGCACGCCGATTCCATGGTCATGGATGGCGTGTTGGGGCACGTCTTCTCAACTACGATGACGCCGGTAACGGTGAGGGAGACGGCGCCAACAAAAAGAAAGAAAGGGCTCCTCTGACTTAAACTAAGAGGACATGGGTCCCTAATAGGTAGAGCTCACTCCACGGACTTACAAGTCAGCGACACATGTCCCTCTCACTTAAGTAAGAGGACCCTCATCCCAACGAAGAGGGGTGGCGAATGGTGTTCATGGTGATCTCCGGTAGTCTGGTCTCGATGAACTCTTATATATATAATAATATATTGAACGCGGATGCTCTTGGGCTTCCTGCTTTTGGCTGGCCCACTGGTTAAAGCTTCGTTTCTTCTTGAGCAGTTGAGCCCAAGGGAATGTGTGGTTCTCTACACAGATTCGCGCCATCCCTAGAGCTCGAGAAACATGTAACGTGGCGCGAGGCTGCCTACTGTCGCCGTGTGGGGAACCAGACATTGTTTTAAGTCAGATCACATTCACTGGACAACATTCATTTGATGTTTGTGACAGTCATGCAGTTCTCAGAATTTTAACTTCTTTCTTTAAACTTTCAACTTTTCTATCACATCAAACTTTTCTACACACACAAACTTCTAACTTTTCCGTTACATCGTTCTAATTTCTTTAAACTCAATTTTATAGTAGAACTAAACACACCCTCAATCACATACATATTACTCCCTCCATTCCCAATTGATTATCATATAATCCTTTTAAGGTTATTCTCCATCATATATATTAATATTCATACCATAAATCTATTCAATATCTTTGTATAGGAGTAAATGGACATCGACAGGGGTGCCGAAGCTAGAGTGAGATGGAGGGGGTGTTACTTGTTTAATTTACGCTGCTTTATATCAAGTTTAAACTAATACGGGTGTCTAAATTTATATTGAGGGGGTGCATACATAGTGAAAATATGTCAGATATAGCTACATTTTTTTCTTGACCGGGTTCTTGGGCACCCCATCAATACTCTAGCTCCGCCCGTGGACATTGATGTATGCATCTATACTCACAACCCTATACAACCATCATGCAACGTTATTTGGCTAGAAAATAATGAAAATGGTGTGTGTATCGAGTTTGTTATCAGAGTAATTATAGTAATTGTAGGTTGAGAGATGTCACGCCCCGAACTAGTCCCGACCGAAACTAGCCCGTGACGCTCCAAATTAACCTGTTAATCGATACCAGTCCCAGGAAACAGTGCTGGTATCACAGGGAGACAGAGTATCACAGCAACAGAGGTCTCTTTATTATAGAGTAGAAGTACAGTCATGTTGGGCTGCGGACAGATCCCGAGCTCACAACTGCATTACAAAAGGAAAGCGGAAGCCAGGACTTGGACCAATCATCACAGGCGCGACTTGGGAACTAGGCCGAAACCCTAAAACTCATCGTAGCCGACTTGCTCCTGGAAGAACTCCTCGTCAGCAGGATCCACTTCATCTTCTTCAGCAACTGGGGGGGGATTATTTATATAGAGCAAGGGTGAGTACGGGAGTACTCAGCAAGCCAGGGGAAATAAGTGTTTAATGCAGGCTTCAGGGAAAGGCTGTTGTTTCCGTAATTGATTTTGTTTGAACTCTTTTCTAAAAAGTCTAAGTGAGTGCTTCTCAAACGACACGGATGGGACAGTGCGTCTCGTCCGGTCGGAGTATGTGCAATGTATCAGTCTTTAGATCTTGAAACAGGGTTGGTACCCGGCCAACAGCTTTTCAAACGGCCACCCGGGCCAACAACTTTTCAAACGGCCACCCGGGCCTAGCTGATCCCGTCAGCTGCTGATTTTTCAAACATCGAACCCAGTTTCACAACAGCAATTTCACAAGCAGTAGTCAAACAAAACTACGCTAGGAATCACCTCGCATCCGCCCTTGACCGTGGGCACGGCTGTTCGAACAGTTCAATGACCTCTGCAGAGGGGGTACACTTTACCCACACGACATTACTAACCCGGGTCACCCAGCCCGTGGGGATCAGCCACGTCGGGAGACCTCCAAGCTTTCATGACAAGGCATTTCGAAAGCCGATACAGGTTTACCATATGCCGACGAGAGGGGTCCCAGACCAACAACAGGTTAGGTCCCAGACCATACTGTGCCAGGAAGCCCAGGGGTCCTCCCCGACACCACCCCGGCGAATCCACATGTCTCTCGGCATCAAGGCTCCCCTGATAAGCTAGTTACTCAGCCAGGGGTGTCCCATTCCACCCATGTGGTCGTACTTGTCTTATGTTTGGATGAAATTCCAAGGAATCGGTCCTTAAGTGCGAGAGCGGGAAACCGTACACCCGGTACGTTCCCCGGTCCGCGGTTTTGGAAATTCATTTAGTTCGCAAGCACCGACCCAGGTGTCGGGTTTTTCCAAGTCTTTTGTAAAACTCCAGTTTTACCCAAGTTGTTACTCAGATTTTAAATTTGAAGGCGACCGTCGATACTCGCACAGAGTGCACGAATATCGAGGTGCAACTGGGTGGTTACAATGGGACATGGTATAACAATTAACAAAGGAAGGATCAAATGCAACGAATTAGGTAGGTCTGCCAATCTGCCTTGCAGGCGGGGCAACAGATTAAGTGTGATCCTATCAATGCATAACATTTCGCAAGCAACATAATTAAATTTCAAATATAGGCTCAAGATGTTCAAAGGTGGCTTGCCTTGCTCGAGATCCGGAGCTTGATCCTCGAAATCCTCGCACTGCGGGTCTTCGGGCTCCGAAACTACACGCGAAACGGGACAACTCAACAAACGGCGAGAATAAAGCCCTATTAATGACCTCTAAGCGTGCCATTAGATAGATCTCGAGATTTGAGGAATTTTGGAAGTTGAACGGAGTCAATCGGATTTACGGTTGGGAAGATATTGAATTTCTAAGATTATTGAATTTCTAAGATTATTTAATTAAATCCTTTTTGGAAAAGAGAAAGAAAAGGAAGGAGGGAGGAAATATAGACTTTTCTCGGACGGCTAGGGCGCGGCCCAAGAGAAATGGAGCTGTCCGGCCGAGCTAAGTGGGTCGGCCGGCCCAAACTCGCGCGCGCGCGGGAGGGAGGAGAGAGAGAGCCGGTGGACCGGGCTCAGCACGCGCGGTCCCTGGTGGGACCCGCTTGTCAGCGGCTCGGCTCACCGTGCGGAGGGAGCATGCGACGCACGCGCGCGGGCGGGGTCGGGACGCGGTGCATGCGCGCGGTCCGCGGCGGACGCAGATGCGACGGGCCCACGCGCAGCCTCACGGCTTGCGGTGGAACGCGCGCACGGGGAGGGACCGACCGGGGTCGGCTCGACCCGGTCTGAGCTGAGCTGGCGCCGACGTGGCGCCTACGTGGCTGCCACGCAGGACGGCGGGAGGTAGACGACGACCCGGCCGCGAATGGACGGCGGGCGGCGGCGGCGAGCGGCGGAGCGAACCACGGAGATACGGGCAAAAGCGAGCACACCGGGCGGTTGTTCGTGACAGGGGGAGGCGAGCCAACGGCTCGGATTCGCCGGAGGTCGCTCGACGGCGGCGGATTGCGGCGGCGGCAACCGGCGGCGGAAGAAAAGGGAAACGGCGACGAGGCCACGAGGGGTCGATTCCCGGCGGTGAGAGCATCTACGCGGCTTCGGGAACTCGACGCTAGCGTCGGATTGGGCGGAACTATGCCGAGCGAGGCCGGCGACGAGCGGGTGCTACGGAGCTCGGGCGGCGACGGCGGCGAGCACATGGCGAGCGAGGGCAACGGTTGGGGCGGCGCCGGCTAGCTACGGGGGGGTCTACTCGAGCTACTACCGAAAGCTAGGGGGAGGAGACGGAGCGAGGAGGGGGAACGGAGAGAGACATCACCGAGAAGAGGAGGGGCGCTGTGACGAGAGGCCGACGGCGCGGGAGTAATCTCTCCGGCCTCGGGCCGGGGAAGGGGAAGGAGAGGGCGCGGCCGAAGTCCCCTTCCGCGTCCTCGAATGCACCGGCTCTCCCGGCGCTCGGCGAAGGACGGCGGAGGTGAGACAGAGCACGGGGCGGCGGCTATGGCGCGGAGACGAATGGAAGAGGAGGGGTAAGGGGAGGCCGGGGGTTTAAAGGGGACGGCAATGTCGGTTTGAGAACCGACTTGCGCGGTCAAAGCGCGAGCTGGTGCTCCGGCTAGCGGCCAAATTGGCGACAAGGAGGATGACGCCGGCAGGGAGGAAAAGGGGAAAAGAAAGGGGGAAAAGGGGCTTGCCCCTTTGCCGATTTGGGTAAGAGGAGGAGGGGAGCGGGGGC